AAAACAGTAATTTGTAAAGTAAGAAAATAAATGTATCCAAACAATGTGTCCTGCTCCGATCGTCCGCTCCTTCTGTGCCACGCCCCCTCGTTAACCCCGTGTGATCAGCTGTTTCTGGTTGTTGTCATTAGCTCTCTGTATTTCGTCCACGTTTCAGTTTGTTTCCCCAGTCCGGTCATTGTATTGTCCGTCTGCGTTTTGCCTGCCTTGCCTGTAATTAAACCCCGTATTCCCCGATACCCTGACGTCTGCGCCTTTGTCTTCAACAATATTATTATAATTAAACATATTAATGGTTTATTATTAATATTAAAATAATGAATAAGAAATCTTTATTTTAAAAGGTATTTTATTATATAATAATTACTGTTACTGTCTATCATTGTCTAAATGTATTTTTACTGTCTAAATATATGTATTCAGCTACTGTAAACATGCACGATGCTATCATAGTGAATGCGAGGCTGAGACTGATGCTTTTACCCTTTGTTTCCGCTGAGAGACATGCCGCGTGACTTATTTCCTGGCACGTGCTAGTTATCTTAGGTCGGCGTTCACGGTTTGACTTCTGAGATTCAGAATTCAGATTTTTTTTCGAACTGGTTGGTTCGACTTTTAAGAAATTCGAGTTCTAATGAGTTTGAGAACTGAGGTACCACTGTATAAGAAATGATAAGGACACAAGGCCCAGGAACAGGCAAGGGACCGTAGCACAAACTCATAATACAGCACAGAGAAACACTTAACGCAAAGACTAACCGAACTAAGGCAGGAACATACTGTAAATACACAAACCGAAGCAGGTTACAAAGCAGTGGGAGTGAGACATGGAACAATTAACCAATCAGAATGGGTGCAGGATAACGAGCAATCAGGTAGAATAATCATGATGCACAGGGAAACAGGGGGGTCAAATAAACTTAATCAAGGAACCCAGAGACCAACAGGGTTAGGGTTAGTAATACATAATCAAAAGACCGAAAACAGAACCCAAACCAAAAACTAGGAACAAGAAAACTAAAATAGAAAATAAACACTGGGGAACAAAATAATTACAAATAAAGAAGAAGCTGGTCTTAAACTCATGACCAAAGGTCTTATAGCCACAATCTCTGCCTATAGAGCCATGCAGCAGTCTGGGGAGCTGGGGCAACACGCTAAGGGCTTGAAGGACACAGGGAGGACCTGATGGACGGTGCTGACCCTGACAAGCTCTGCACCAAAGGCAGCACTATGGTAGCAGGGCCGTGCAGATTTTCTAGAGGCATGTGGCTTAGAGTACATTTTGTCAACTGGGGGTTCCCCCCCAGTTATCGAGAAGGGGTACCTAGTATCCCCCAATAAGAATGTGCCTGCTTTATGGCACTTGATTCCGGCACAGGGAAAATGGAATATTAACAATAGTGAAAAATAATTTAGCTTATAAATGGCTTATCATATCAAACTATAAGATATGAATAGTTCTTGGCTGGACTGGAGAGCCCTGTGTACATGTTTGAGGTAAACTGGCTTTATGAAATGAGCTAATCACATTGACTGCAGATCTCGCCATGCTGCTAATCTCTCTCTTCCCTGGTATGTAGATGGGAAGGGGGATTAGGACCTCAGATACGATGCAGAGGTTGCTCTTTACTGCTTGAACAGTCAGGGTCTGTCAATAAAAAGAATAGTATTAAAAAACAAAACATACAAAAACACTAAAATGCAAAACAAGCCAAATAAAGGCTGAATTGTGGCTCAGTGTTTAGTACCAAAGCCTTACGTCTCTGCGGCTGGGGGTCCAAATCCTCCCTGTGTGTTTATAATTATTACATTGTGGGGACCAGATTTCCCTGCAATATTCAATTCAATTTATTTTTATATAGCGTCTTTCATAACAGTGTCGCTCCAAGACACTTTATACGGGAGAGAAATATGATTAAAAACTGTAACTTTTTACTTTGTGGGGACATTTTTTCAGTCCCCCCAAAGATAACCTCCATTTTTATGAAAATGTGAATGCAATAAAAAAACTAAAACTGCCAAAAGTCTTGTATTATGTCTGGTTACTTATGGTTATGGTTAGGGCTGGGTAGGGGTTAAGGTCGTCGTTGTTGGGATTAGGGTTATGCCCATAGAAATGAATGGACGGTCCCCACAAAGATATGAATACAAACATGCCACTGTGTGTGTGTGTGTGTGTGTGTGTGTGAGTGGGTTTATGGTCCCCATAAGGGAAAACTCTATTTTATAAAAATTGGTGACTGCTATGAAAAAACTAAAAATGCAGAAACTCTTGTATTATGTTTGGTTACTTATGGTTATGCTTAGGGCAGGGTAGGGTTAGGGTTATGGTTAGGGCAGGGTAGGGGTTAAGGTTGTTATAGTTAGCGTTAGCATTTTTCCCATTGAAATGAATGAGCGGTCCCCATAAGGATATGTTTACCCTACGTGTGTGTGTGTGTGGAGTTGGCATGCTCTAACTGGTCTCTGTAAACTGTTGGTAGAGTGTGGATGAGTGTCTGTGGACTGGCACCCCCCCCACGATGTACCCCGGATCTTGGCCTCCATGACTAGGCCATGCAGGGAGAAGATGGATAGATGTATGGATTGAAAGAAAAGAAGATGGGCAAAAAAGAGACATGGTCTGGTTGCTTTCATCATAAGATTTTTTTTTGTTGCTTTTTAGATTATTCATGCATTCCACAAACATGGTGGTCTGTAAGCATCCTGCAGCAAAGACACCCTGCTTTCCGCATTTTTGCCACTCAGGTAATATTTCTTAGAGAAAGGCTTCCATCATGTGGGTGTCTTACTATTGCGACGTTCATGGATGTCGTTGCCCAGACAGATGCTCTGGACGGGCTCCTCACTCTCCACGACGACAGAGCGGCATATCTCAGTGTCGTGAGTCTGCAGCTCCCGGCGGGAGAGGTGCTCCACGATTCCGGCGCCGAGAGAGTCTCCCAGAACGTTCGCAGTGGTCCTCAGGCGATCACTGCTCAGACATGCAAATTTGTCACTGGGTTTGGCTGTCAGACATATCGATGCGATTTATCACATTTAAACGGGACGGTGCATCGTTTTACACTGCAGTTCAAATAATCTAAAGAAACCTTGTTACTAATTAATAAAAATGCATCTCCACTGAATCAAACAGAATCAAAATGCATTAAGAATCTGAAACTTCAGGGTTCATATTTGCAGTCTTAACCTTTCAAAGGGAATTCATTGCTCTAATGGCCCGTATTGGGGTGACATTTAGGAAGACTCACAGGAACCAATCCACAGCGATGATCAACGATATGTCCTCCGTGGGCAGTCCGACTGATGTCAATACAATCACCATGGTTACCAGACCTGCTTGAGGAATGCCTGCGGCTCCGATGCTGGCAGCTGTTGCCGTGATACTAAGGAGCCAATAGAAAACCATTAGGGACGCAGTATGAATTTTTAAGGCTTCATTTAATTCTGGGAGCAGAGAAGCAAAACACAGCCTAAGTATCGGTAAGATCAAAAGGAAACCGGTCCTTTACATTGGTGTCTGTCAATATAAATATGGGAACAGTAGTAAAGCCTGGAATATGGACCAGGGCTAAACGAGTGTCTCAAATAGCCCCAGAGTCCAGCACCATTACCTGATGGTGAGAATCTGGCCAAAGTTTAGCGCCACCTGGTTGACCTGGGCGATGAAAATGGCGGCCACAGCTTCGTACAACGCGGTGCCGTCCATATTTACGGTGGCGCCCACAGGAAGCACAAAGCGTGTCACCCGCTTGTCCACCATGTTGTTTTCCTCCAGGCAGCGAAAGGTTATGGGTAGCGTTGCCGAGCTGAAACAAACATGCATAACACACGTTTAGCCCCCGTGATGAGATCAAGTCAACGCTGTGAGATCAAGTCAACGGCTCAATGAACATTTTGCCTGGGGAGTGTTCATCGTTTTCGGATTGAGCCTCCTGTGTGGCTGTCAGTAAAAGCGTCTCTGCTCTCGTCCCACCCACCTGGACGAAGTGCCTAATGCAGTCATTAGAGCCTGCAGCAGCCCCCCCATAAACATAAAGGGGTTCTTGCGTGTGACAGCGAAGTAGATCAGCGGCAGGACGATGAGACCGTGAAGGAGGAGGCCGAGGATGACTGACAGCGTGTACATCCCCAGCTGCCCCCCCATCTGGGCCAAATCCTTCATCTCCACTATCTTCCCTGCGATCAGGAAGAGAATCCCCACCGGAGTGTACCTTGTCCACAAGACAAACTAAAGTCACACCTTTATAAACGTACACGAAATTCAGATCATAAAACGGCTCATTAGGCTTTTTAAAGGGGAAAATCAAGGTGATTTTTACATACACAGGGCAAGTTCTAGATCAATGTCAGAAACAGTTGTAAAGTCTCAGCGATATTTCAACCAGCGCATGGAGATCAAGGCCGAAATCATAGTACCAACCAGATGATGACGGCCACCAGACGCAAGATGGCTTCATTGAGACAGTCAAAGAAGTCTCGCAGGACTCTGCCCTTGTCCTTCATGTTTCCGATGACCAATCCAAAGCACATAGAGAAAACCACCAGACCCAAGGCGTTGACCCCACTAGAGGAGCCTGCCGTAGGAACAGTTTCCTCCAAAGTCTGCAGGACGCTGGTCAGCAGGACCCCGCTGATGTTAGCCTCACTCTCGTTACCTGGCAGGGTCACATTGCTCTGGGTCATGCGTCTGGAGTACAGCGTTTTGTACTGGATTTGTGAAAGAAAATGGAGAAACCGTTATTATTTCCATTTAAGCTTATACACAATGGAATTAAGGTATAAAGGCAGAATCATTTACAACTAAAAAGTTAAAATGACAGCGTTACCTGCTTGAAACAAGCTTCCACTAAATTAGGAGGGAACATATTTCTGCAAAGGCCAAAGCAGAAATAAACATTGAGCTAAAAATAAGCCCTTGGAACTTGTTTGTTTAAACTGCGATCTCTAACTGAAGCAGCACGCACCAGCTTTGTTTACCTGATCAGATCCAGAAAGGCATCAACTGCTTGCACTGACTGAATGCTGCTGCTAGAGGACGCCGGACTTTCCCTGCCACCCTCCCCGGGCTTAAGCAGCATCACGACGGCAATGCCGGTAAAGACTGCGATGATGGTGGTCAGCATATAATACACAACAGTCCGCATTCCCATCCTTCCAGATGCTTTGCTGTCCAGAGAGGACATCCCTGTAACATAAGAGTATTTCATGCAGTATTCATTATGTGTTCACTTTGGGTGGTGTGTTTTTCTGATACAACATCTGATTGTACTCACTTAAAGTGAAAACATATTTTATTTGGTACTAGAGGCTACAAATGTAGGCACAAACAACTTTTACACCTATTTTTCACATGCATCTACCAAGAATATCATGCTGAGCTACATATTCTGAATCTAAAATGCTAATTGGCTCATTTCGCTTATCTTTGCATAGAAACAATGTGACAAATTGATTTGAGGCCTCAAAAAGAATTGAAATCAAATACTGTAGTCACTCCAAAACTATAGCAACCAGCAGCCCATTTTGAATTAGTAAATAAACCATGCAAATGAAACTAGACATAAGATTTATAGTCTGAAAGGAAGCTGTAGATGATTATGGACTGTAGGTGGGGATGTCATAGGAATAACCTACTCAAAACTATTTGTTGCAATAGTTTCGTACCCTAAATTCTAGTCCAGTATACATAATTTCAGAAAACACACAAACAGCATGTATTTGTATTGCAATAGGAATGCTTTGATAACATGGCAGCCAATCCCATTCTCCAGAGAGACAGGAAAAGTTCACCAGTCACTTACCTGTGACCAAGCTGGACACAATGAGTGGCAGGACCAGCATCTGCAGCATCCTCATGAGAAGCTCTCCAGGGAAGGTGAAATACTTTATCTCTCTGAGGGACAAATCGCGGGGACGCAGTACCAAGCCCACCAAGACTCCTAGGTGACACATGAACAGGGAGATCAGCATCACTGCCAAACATTTAAAGCCATAACTTTGCAACATAATTACCCAGCAAGCAAAATAAGGCGCAAAAGTCTCCGTATGTCATAACTAGGAGCGGCTCAGTGGGTTAGAACAGGTTGCCAGTTCAGATCTTGCAGTCTGCAGAGTGATGTTGGGCCCTGCACCAAGGTGCTATATCCAAATTCCTCAAGGGCAACCCTGCTTGAACAATTGTATGTTGCTTTAGGTAAATAAATAAATGTGAAGATAGGCTGAGAGCTGTAAATACGGTGCTGAATGTCATTGGACTGCTTGCCTAGCGCCACCGAAACCACAGTGACGATCACAAAGGCGTTCCGGCAAACGAAGTTCCGGACGCCCTGGCAGGGCCTGGATGGTGCGGTCGGCATGTCCCGAGGCTGTGAGCGTCTGTCGGGGAGGTCAGCCTCTTTGGCGTCGTCGTTCAGGAAAAGGCTGTGGCTATTGGAAAGCGTCTCATTCATGACGGGATCCAGAAGACGAGGCACACTGGGAACTGCAGGAGAAGAAGGAATATGAGGAGAATGCTGTGTGTAAACAGAAGATCCACGGAATGTCAACAGCTAGTAAACAGCGGCAGAGAGGAAAAGGGTGTCAGCTTACCCTGAACTGCAGCCGGTGTCTTACTCTAACAACACATGCAAACAAAATCATTTGGAAGAGACAAAGGCACAAAGGCACAAAGGCACAAAGGCAAGTGACATTAACATGCAAAAAACAGAGCAGAGAAAACGCTAAATGAATGAGCCTCCAGCAACTTTTATGATTGTAGTGAAACTTGAGATTTGACATTCTATACCCTAGATAGGATGCCAATCTGTCACAGGCTACACACACACACACACAATTTTTATCTTTATGGGGACCGTTCAGTACCAACAATGACGACCGTAACCCCTACACAGCCCTAACCTAAACCATAAGTAACCAAACAAAATACAAGAATTTTAGCATTTTTAGTTTTTTGATTGCAGTCAGATTTTTTATAAAATTGAATTTCCCCTTGTGGGGACCAGTTAAGCACACACACACACACACACACAGACACACACACTCAGTATAGAGAGAACCCTTAATTTAACTGGATGTCTCTGGATTTTGAGAACATGGGGAGAACATGCACAGCCCACAAGCAGGAACTGCACATGCGAGGAGTCATAACCCCAGGGGTGTGAGACCACAACCCTATCAGCTAAGTCACTATATTACCTGACAGCTTATTAATAATAAGGACTTACATTACATTACCAAACCGACTTTGGCTTTGGATATTATGGGCAAGAACAATGGAAGCTTGAATCTATGAAGAAGGCGTGTGGAGGACTGAGCCCGGGCTTCTGTTAAGGGAGAGCTACTGGGGAATGGAGATAAGGCTGGGAGGAGAGGTGGAACGACAGCCCATGTGACAGTGCTCCATTATCTGCAGAGTGCTGATGGTGAGCACAGCGACAGGGAAGCTACGAAGTCGATGGTGCAGAAAGGCGGCACCAGGGACTTCAGAAAGCAGATTATACTGTCTGATGAACAGGCAGACAAATACTAGTGAAAGTTTAAGATGTTCAAGGAGACACTTTGATCATCGATTTACAAAGATAAAAACTATTAAAAGAAGTCAGAAAAATATTTATTAATCTTTCCAACCAGAATGTTATAACTTCTCATAAAGTTGTATCGGGTTGGAGGAGTACTGGGTGGTAAATAAAAATGCAACACAGACCTGCCAGTGCAGCAAAAACCCTAAGTGACCTATAAGTGACACGGAAGGATGGATGGATGGATGAAACACCCAGTAGCCGTTATAATAGGTTACAATGATGTAGTAGAATCTGCAGTGAATCGTGTCTAACAGGGGATCACATCGTCTCTCGTGACGATTTACTCACCATCAAAGCTAGAAATTAAGCTCATCAGCTCGCCTGAGCCGACTCATTTACAAAGGCGAAAATAACAACTGAACAACTGAAACTACACGTCAGGATACAGTTCTTACCGAACCAGCCCAGCTGCCGAGTAGCTGCAAGTTCTGCCCTTGCTCATCATTCATGGTTTTTTCAGTCACGCAAAAAAAAATCGCAAAACAAAGCGAAGGATTGATATGCCTTTTTCAAGAGCCCAGCATTCCGATTTGACCAAAAGCGGACATTAACAGCCCGCTTGACCTGAGCTGACCTTCCGGAGCCTTACGGTGACGCACGCCGCGCCGCGCCGATACCGAGCAGCCGCCGGCCGGTTCGGGCGGCCAGTCAGCCCCGGCCGGCGCGCTCCCGTCACAGTCGTTGCTCCAGACCCTCCAGACGAGGGGAAATAATCTCACGTTTTACTGAACTTGACAAAATCAGAAAATAAACCACGTATGTGCAGGGAAGGGCCACGTTATGAATGTCATTGTCTTTCCGCGTACCGGTGGTCTGGACAAGTTCGAAACTTCGAGCCTATTTCAAAAGCGCTGCAAGCTTCAGAACGTTTAAACGATAAGACTTCAACCACTGTTCTAATAAATATTAATTCTATAACATTGTCGTTTAACGGGTTTCCAACGACGACAGAACACAAGGCATTCTATTCTATCATGTTTATTTTTATTCTATCATGTTTATTATATTCTGTCATATTCAATTCTATTTTGTTTAAATTTCGATGTGAATTATTTAAGATGAAATAAAATGATCATTAAAAATAGTGTGATTGGTTATACTTGGGTTCATTTGAAATAAATTGCCATAATACAATAAAGAGAAATTAAGTAGCATTTTCATTCATAAAAAAACAACAAATCGCGTGTATTTGCATTAAAGCCAGTTCCTTCAATTTCAAATAATAGTAATAGCAGCGGATAGTGAAAAGCAGCCCAACCTTCCCCAGCCCGCAAGCCGCCACGCGAAGAGCCGCCGGATCTCGCCGCGTACCTGCCTGCGGCGCAGCGCACGTGGCTCCGTCTCTCCCGCGTCCCTCCGTTTGCTCCGTAAAACTCTGTGAGCCTGTGGTGCGTATGGAAGGGGTGCAGTGGTGGTTTTTATCTCCTCCGGTAAATTTCCCTCGGCAGAGCGCGTAGGGATCTTTATTGCGCTAAACCCGCCAAGGGAACAGCGGAGAACGCGGCTGGAAGGGTCGATGCGAGGGAGGCGGAGGTTAGAGATCCTCAGGCGCTGAGAGACCTGCTGCCCCTTTCTGGGTGGGATCCCCCTTTTTGATGTTCACTTGGGCAAGGCGATCATGACTATGGACTCATATGGGATAATATGCAAGCGATGCGTAGTTCAAAATAGAGCAGCTATTGTGTGCGTGTGATTTTGTTGTTATACCTTCGCAGTGTATGTCGTTGTACGTTTGACTTCTCCATGACTACCTACGTCCGCAGAACATGTTCATGGGACCCGCGATCCAGCAGCCTGAACCGCCTGCCTACCCACGTTACCACCCACGTAACTGCCCTTGGACCTTTGTGCATGCATGTGTTTTCCACTATATGAACGTGCCAAAGTTATCTGAAGAACGATGTGTATTGATGTGCTGGGGATGCTGTATGCAATGCCATCAATACCAGCCAAAACCTTAAATAAAGCCATAATAATCTACTTAGTCTGGGCACGGTTACAGCAGCAGTGTACCTAAACATCTAACCTAAGAGCAAGCCACAAGTCTTATGTTGTCCATTTGAAGCAAAATGTGTTATTAAAATATTAAATCATATTTCAATTCATTACATATCAAACATTAATTAAATAATTGCATCTGCCAAATAAAAAGTGAATTCGACTACTACAAATTCATAAAAAGTCAAATTTTCTTTTCAAGTCGTACTGTAATCTTCCACATGCTTGTCATTTAAAAGGAGGCTCCTATTGCAGGATGTTCAAGGCAGTGCAGCCACAGAATCCGCTACTTCAGCATTCCTGCCTGTAGGGGGCGCTGTTGGAGGGTCGCGGAATTGGTGCCGCTGATGGAATTCAGACCTCGGGGTAAAATGACAGAACGGCCTTACGCTGCAGGCATGTAAGTAACTGGAACATGCAGGGAAAAGGTTAAGGAATATATTCTCCTAGTAATGTACAATGTAAAATGTACAGACTCTTTGATTTAAAAGAAACCAAGATCAGTGTATTCATGCAAAAGCAGCAGATTTCATCACTATGGAAACTCGCATAGCCCGTTGCTGTGTGGGAGGTGGAGGAGAATTACCCATATTTAGCCAGGCAATTATTCTCTAGTATGCAGATTAAAATCATGGAATATACCTGAGTAATGGTTTTAATATTTCTCTTTTATTAGAATTTATGTACAGCAAGGACACTAAATACCAGAGAAATATTTCAATTTCAGAAAATTAGGTTGAGGTAGTTAAAATTATATACAGCAAAACATGATTTATCTTCAATTTATGATTAGTAGATTTGATGGCATATCTAAATTATTTGCACCCATCTTGCAGCCTCTTAACAGGAACAGGGTCACGCGTGGAGTTTGCAGGCATTACAAGGCACAAGGCTGGTTTACATCCTGGATGGGATGCCAGTCCATCACAGGACAGAGGCCCACACACACAATCACAGACTACCGCAAGTTAGACCCCAATCAGCCTAACTGCAAGTATTTTGACTGTAGGAGGAAACTGGAAAGAAAACCCACACGGCACGTGGAGAACATGCAAACTACACACACAAAGAGTGAAGGCAGGATTCGAACCCACAACCCTGGGGGTGTGACACAACAGTGTGACTCTGTGCCACCCTAAATTAAAATATTTAGTTTAAAATGCATATGCTTAATTTAAATATGTATACGTGCAGCTTCTACTAGTACCCTTTAGAATCTTTTGGAGAATAGCTGCATCTGTATTTTATTTTCTTCATTATGTATTTTTAATCTCGCAGTTACCTAGCAACAAGCAAATTTTGAAGACTAACAATGGTAGAATAGATGACTATTTCACCATAATGTCTTCATCTCCATTTTAACAGAATTTATATCAAGTCTAAAGGAGATATTCAAGGAGGTGAGAGGAATGAAGTGACTGTATCTAGGGCTGAATGATTTTCCAAATGAGTTCCTACCTTAGCAGACATATGAATAATCTTACAAAGTAGCTATTAGGGTCCCTGCTAATAGGATCCACGTTATTGTTAGTCACCTATGAACAATACGAGTTATGTAGCAGATTTCACTGGTATAAAATAGGGAAAAAAATGTGGTTAGGGGCTTAGGTTTGAATGTGGCCATTGTCTGTCTTGAATTTTTTATTGTAATGTGAATTTGAAGAATTTATGACTTCAAGAAGAAGTAATTAGTAAAATAGCAAACGACAGCACTGAGTACTTCAGTAAGGAGCTTGGCTGCTGGGCACCACTGAGACGTGTCCATCGCATGTCGTAACGTGTCCATCGCATGTCGTTGGTGTGACCTCTGCATGTCACCATGGCTACTGCCTTATACTCACTAACGGCTCATTTAACACTAACACACCATCGCATTTTTTTCTTCCCAGCTTGACGTGTCACACATTTGGGGATGTCATTGTCTTCCTCATGAGCACCACTCACATACCAATGGGGGCCAAATCATGGCTGTCAAAATTTAATTTGTGATTTTGTAAAACGTTTCTATAGCTTTTTAGAAAATTGTTAAACAATTCCATGCTCTGTATTGCATGTATATTAATTAAATATAGCACCTCATTGTTATGACACAAACCAAACACAATGGCTGACTGGATTGGAGAAGAATGAAAGATTGTGTGACATTTTTCCTTCCTCACAATGGTTTAACGGTGTAGGATTATTTAGGGACAGTGCTATGTGATTATGTGTGTATGGCCAGAAATGGACTGGCACCCCATCCAAAGGGTCCCCAGCCCTGTGAACTATACCCAGGCACCAGGACCCTGTTGGGGGTAAGCATTTTGGATGGATTGATGGATGGATGGATTTATGATGAACAGACAGATGGATGGTCGGACGGATGGATGGATGGATGAACAGACAGATCCATCATATTGTAGAGTCACTTCTCTCCAACAACTATGAGAACTGTGAGTTTAAAGGGGAGCATTTTTCCATAGAGCCCTGCCAACATTAAAGGATGAAAGTGGAAACATCATCCATGTGTCATAATCACCAAGCTCACAGGAAAAGGTCACTAAATAGATTCTCTCCTTTTAAATGTCACCTGATTATTTTCCTGCTGTCAGCCTGAAGCCCCATAAGTGTGAATTTTAGGCTTAATGAAAGAAATGCATGAATGCAAGAAACGATGGGGATTACAGGGAAGGGTCAATAGCGACATTTTTAAACCCAGAGTTGTAAATGAGAACAATAAGTAAATTTCCCTTAGTTGCTGAGGAATTATGTGAATCATGGGCATAAATTAAAACCAGCCAATAGAACCCCCCGGGCCCCTTGAAGGGGCAGAGACCTCGACCCCCCCCAGTGGTCAGCCCAGAGTTATGCCCTTAATGTGAATCATCACATACAAAACATTCTGCTAATAACTAATTGCTTCCTTGCTAAAATGGTTTACTTTTGAGGAAAAACTATTCAAAGACAGCTTTGTAATATGATCTGACTATCAATCTTAAATAAATCCAGCATAGGGTCGTGGTAGACTGTGACTGGAAAGTTATATTATTTTTTCATTTTGTTTCTTAGGTTTTTCAAGCTAAAGAAATTGTACATTTTTACCTGCAAATTGGAGGTAATTTGATTACAAACTTTAGCACGCTGCATGTGTCACGTTCAGCTGCTTAGGGATGGTTTGATCCATCTGAACCTTACGGCCTCGCCTCAAATTTACTTTATCTTTGAAAATCAAGCCCAACATGCTTACAGCACTGGCGGAAATTTCCAATCTGTGACTCGCCGGGAAGTTTTTATCAAGTCACCAGGCAACTGAGAAAATCTAGCCATATGGGGAGAACAGGCAACCTCCATAGATGAAGCCATGGCGGAGACTCGAACCCGGGTCCCAGAGGTGTGAGACAGCAGTGGTAACCAGTGAAACACCAGGCCACCCGTCACACATTTGGATTCCTGGCCTCAATGCTCATGCTTACTGTTCAGTTCAAATCAGAGCGACGCTATTTCAAGGGACTGCTGCCTGCCCTTTAATTTTTACAAAATGAAAATCAGGCAATATTTCAGTGATGGAGCTACAAAATGACAACAACAGAGCAGTTGGGTAATATGTTTGAAATTTCTCATCATCTCACTGAATTTAATTAGCAGATCTGTGAATCGCGCCTAATCTTGCTGCTTAAATCTGTATCTCATTATAGACATTAAATGTGATTCTGTATCCTTTGGGATATTGGAAATGGATTGACATCATCACTGCTGTGCTGTAAGAGGTCACAGGATGCATGGAATACATAGTGGACCGTTTAATTGTTCAGCTGATGCTAAATACTGTTTACTTCTATATGAAAAAATCAGTCTTTAATGGTAATAGAAGAAATGGAGGGGGAAAGAGGAACATGTGCTACTTTGGAATCACATATATATAACAATGAGAATAAGACAAAACAAATGATGTCATTTGATTCTGGTTTATTTTAAGGTCAGCAGACACATGTTGTTGTCTCTCCATGCAGATTTTGTAGGGCTATATTATTAATGATTTACAAAGCAGCTGAAAAGAATATTAATATTGGTTGAAAGTGTGTGATTCTAAATGAATACATGACAAGTAAAAGGAATAAATCACTTATATTTTAAACTTTTTATTCTTGATTGCAGATTGCTATCTGAAGCACTTTAGGTATCCAGCTAACAATGTTACCCATAAAATATGTGATAAACAGCAAATAAAGTATTGTCACACTGACACAATTATCAACAAAGCCTAACGTAACCATTCTCTCGGAGTATTAACAGTTAGGTTTGGACCACTTTAGAACACAAACCGAAGGCTAATGGAAACAAAAGCATTATTGTGGTCAGTTTGTGTTTATTGCACTAGTTTTATGCTGCACAATCCCTTACACCTCGCTCAAATTTCCTACTTACAATTTTGCATTATTTATGATCTTTGGTCACACTTTCATTCTTGCTTTGAGTTTCTTTAATAAATCTTTGAGTTTCTAAGTTAATAGTGTGTGTCCTCCTCTTTTGTTACTGCCTTGAGTCGAGTCAGAACACCAGCTCAAAATAGCTTTGTGCAATAAACTTGCAAATTTCTCCAAATGCTTCATATTTTACTTTTGACTGATATCTATGTCGACATCATCCAACACCTTGTCTGCTCTATCCCAATGCGACATAGTATAAGTGTACATATGCATGTATCTCATTTTGCCCAACACAGTGCTGGGTGACCTTCAGCACACATGGGTTAGTGACAAACTGTAATAATAGGACAACACTGATTTCTTAATTTCAGCTAATTATAGCTTATTTACAAATATGGACCAAGGTTTTATACTTTGTCATAAAGACTAGTAGCTGAATGAGATTAATACAAATGAAAGAAAGGAACAGCCTGCTGAACATTTGATTTCAGTAAGACCAGACAAAACATAAAACGAACCCTTACAACATGTGCAGTTGCATGGATTTTTGGTTCTTTGTAATGAACGAAACTGTCAACAAATTTACAATGAAGGGCAAAGGTTGGTATTTGGTAACGGTTTGTGTCTCTCTGTCTATGAGAAAACAATGTAAATTCAAATAGCAAAATAGATACAAACTTACGCTGCATAGTATGCAGATTGCTAATTGAAACTTGCCTCCTATGCAATAACCAGAAGGAATCCAGGATGCCAACGCAAATGATGGTAGCAAACAATGAATTTACGGTTTATGGAAGCGGCTGAGAGGTTCAATTCTGCATTCATTCAGCCTGACATTTCAGTCAGATCTCTCAACACTCATCTGCAGCCTTTGTCAAAGTAGCATGTAGCATGAAAAGTAGCTGCGCATGGATTTAAAGAAGCAGAATCAACTGCGTAATTACTGCTTAAATGTTGGCTCCCTGTCAGTTCTCTTTCAATAGTGCTTTGTGCTTATGATTCAGGGGTCTGTTTCACAAAGCAGGATTACTTGCTTAGCCAGATAACTTGCCAGATTTAAGGTAGTCTGGGCTAAATAGACCTTATTTTCATCAACTAACATTTAGCCCAGACTACCTTAAATCTGGCAAGTTATCTGGCTAAGCAAGTAATCCTGCTTTGTGAAACAGGCCCCAGATCAGTTTTAAACAATGTAAACAACAGTAATTCCTTGGAGTTCTCAAGGGAATTTAAACAACAATCTTCTCAATGCTATTGAAAACGGATCCAACGTTATGTGTCTCAATCACTGACAGGGAAGAGAATAGGCCACGTGCCAGTATATCCAGTAAGTTTATTTCTCTAGTGTGGTAATGATGTAACAAAGATTTTTCAGATGAAATCAAAAGCCTTTTTTGCTCAGGCACCTGAGGGCTAAGGAGTTGGAGAAAAGGTTAGGCACCAGGGAGATCAATCGATACTCACAACTGCAGAAACACTGCATGTCATTGAATCATGTCTTAAATAATATAGTATGCCTTTAATAATGTCTTAGGTAATATACCTTTAAGTCCATCATCTAGTAATTAAGTGTGAGCATTTCATGTGTTTTTATTAGAGATGGAACAGGACATACAACCGGACTTTGACGAGTCACCCTGAACCCCCCCAACTCCCACAATCTCCATCCCGTCACTGAATGCCTTTGTCACAGAGACAATACAGCATCTATTTTCACTATTTACCTTTAGTTGCTTAACTGACACTTTTCTTTGGGTGCTACAGTACGCCCCCTAGTGGTAATTCAGATAAGATTGTGTCCTTAACCACAGCACCACCTGTTGCCATTATTATGCAAGTGGTCGTACAGTGTTAACAGGTTATTTTATTTTTAAGATTTGCACTTTAGTAATGAACGACAAAACTGCATTAAGCTGCTGCAATGATCAAGTCAGTGAATTTAAAATCAACTTTATTTTTCCTGATCTATCAACCTTGGACCACAGTATTCCAGTGTATCATTTCAACAAACATCACTGATGCTCCTTGTAAAGCAAGAAAACTACTGATTCAACATTAAAGCGGCTGCACAAGAAATTCTATCTAACCGAAGCAAATGGCAGTGGCGCAGTCTTCCTGCGCAGAGGGTCGGCGTCGCGTGGTCCGCGGGAGCCACCTAGGGGCCCGTCTGGGAATAGCCGCTGCGCCGCTCCAGTGGAGCCACTGACGTAAGGTGAGTTTCACAAATCAAACAAGCAGCGATTCTGGGAAATAACTCATACACACTTATTCCCCATTAAAAAAACTCATACTTTTATATCTAATTTAGTGCACAAGTGTGTGTATATATCTATTTAAAAAAGAATATACCACGCTCTTTGGTACATGTATATTTAGAAAAATATAAAAGGTAACTGTAAAATTGTAGAAAAGACCAACCCAAAGCACCAAATTTTGTATCACTTACGGCACTTTGCTGAGATTAACAGTCAAAAATAAATGTACAAAACATCAACGGACATCTTTGTGCAGAATTCAGGAAAAATGTAACTATTTCAATAAAAATCCAAAGTATGATTAATTTAAAGCAGATCTATCAACAGGAAACGCATAGGGTGCAGGTGTCTGATCCATAGGGCTGATAACCAGCTGCTCAACTGAGCAAAAAGGGCACTTGATAGTAATAATAAAACCCCTTTCACCCTAGTCAATGCTCATTATTTAGACTGATTCACATTAATTTAGACTGATTGATGACAACTATATAATAGAATATAAAAGGATTAGTAGGAATTTATAACTTAAGCAACAACATCCTGTTTAATACAAAAAAAATCCTAAATACCATTTTGTGATGATTTAATAACTGTGATTATTACCAGGAAAAGCAGACTGAAGATGGATGAATGAATTAAACTCTGTGCGCGGCTTGATCAGACACCAGCAGACCCTGTGTCCTGAGAGGACTGGAATTATGACACCAAACGATATTATTACGAGTTTTTGATTTTTCATGACCATTGAAAATGTCACATGCAGAAAGAGAATTACAATTGAGCCGAGTAAAAATGACCAATATGTGACCAAATGATTATTAATGTGAAGGCTACATTACAAATTAAATTCTAGTTAAAGTATAACTGAGAAACATTGTAGGGCTGAAGACACGGTTGTATTGAACGTGAAAGCAGGAATGCTAGGCCGACAGGTTGGACTTCCGATATCCTCCTCTGCCCACTGCAGGATTTCATCTGTGCCTCGGAGTTACTACACCATTGCATTCCTGACGGCGTCCTCGAGCGATTTCCGGGTAACCAGAAGCCGGACCACATCCTCGTTTTTCTTAGTGAGTCTCTTCCGTGCCTGGTCGTGAGTCACCATGGTCATATCCCAGCCATTGACCTGAAATGCCATCATACATTATCGACTACCTGTTTAGGTTTAAGGAAAATTATGAAAATTTAATTGACACAATCATTTCACAAGGCTTCTAAATGTAAATATTAGCACTGGGTATTGCCAACCAGCCCATGATACAATACTCGCCATGGTATTACTACTGTATCCTGATGGTTAACAATCCAATATTTCAAAAATAAAATAAATATTAACAAGCATCGACAGCCATTGACTACCAGGGATAAATAAGTAGACTAAAAAGAGCTGTTGCATTCTTCAATTCCCTGTTGCACAAACTATGAATTTTGTTGTGCAAACATAATTTGCACATTACGGTTTTTAAACAGCAAACGAGAAAACAACATTACATAATGGAATCTGAATTCTCCTGCTGGTGTTAAAGGGTATGGCAATAAATTAATGAAAACCAATGCAAAATACTGAAACATCGTGACAGACTGAATCGAGATTTATGTGTAAATTGCAGTACTGATACAAAGCCGTAAAAGCAATGTAAATATGGGAACCTGCGAAAAGCAAGTCAGGATCTACATTATCAAATACCATGTTCATGACAAATTAAACGGACAGGGGGACAAAATGACATGCCAATAAATGTGTAACTTCACAGATGCCTCCTTGTGACAAAACACTCCACTGGAACCATTTAATGTGTCAGATCATCTGTATCAGACAGCTGCTGCGTGCTGATTTGGGGAAGTGGCCTGAGATAACAGGTCCATTTCGGACCCACTCTCATCAGCGGAAAGGTGCCTGTTCTGTTCTGCTACTCAGAAAGGCCAGAGAGAGCAAGCTGTGAATATTCTACTAAGGCCTGCAGCGACTCCATCTCATTTCACCTTAAACTACAAGAAGCTAATCTAATCAGTGTTTTCATTTCCAACTTTGTATGAGACAGAACATTTGAGTCATGTGGTAATTACCTTTGTGTTTCCAGGCACTAGGGGTGCAAAGATTAATCAGAGCCCTAAATGCACACAGTGATATTTATCTTGCCCACCGTCCAGAAGTGACATCAGGTGCAAAGCTATTTGAAGAACCATTTTCATGAAGGCACATGAAGACGGCCAAGGCTGCCTACGATTGTAGAGCAGCATACTGGATTTACAGCACATTCGAAATCATTCTGGACTGAAAAAGCGGAGCTAATGTAAACCCAACTGGGGTTATAACAGAAATTACACTCTCAGGATAAGAATAAGCTGCACTCCAGATCTGAATAACCTCTCCGTGAGTCACACCATTACATTACAAAATAAGTAGTATTTCCATCGCCATACAACTTTGAATTCTGAATAATCCTTGATTATACTTAACTTTAAAATAACCTAAATCCATCCATCCATCCGTTTTCTACCCCGTGACCCCGGAAAAACCTACATATTTATGCAGTTCACGGGTGGCGAGAAAAGCTTTCCTTCACACTCTAGGACAGGGGTCACCAACATGGTGCCCGCGGGCACCAGGATGCCCCCAAGGACCACATGAGTCGCCCGCGGACCTGTTCTAAAAATAGCTAAACTCACCAGTGAGCAGCGTCTAAAATTTAATTTTATCCTGTTGCTATTCTTCTTTAATCACATTTGCATTAATATAGATTTGAAAATGACAATATCTAAAAAAGCATTTAAAACATGTTTATTATACATGAAGTTTAGATAAGTTTAGGATCTAAACCTAAACTGGTAGCCCTTCGTATGGCTCAGTACCCGTGAAGTAGCTCTCCGTTTCAAAAAGTTCGGTGACCCCTACCCTAGGAGAATGACCATCAAATCACCATCAAATGACCATCAGCGCACCATCAAATAGGCTGGAGACGCTGGAGAAAATGAGGGAACATCTAGCAGAAGTGCATGCTAGTCAGCCTATTCAGAAAAGTATTTTGCACATTAAATGCTGGTCAAACCATGATTACAAGCTCAAACACATAATATTTCTCATCTGCACAACTGGAAACATTTTAAATGACGGGGGAAAACAAAAAGGAGAATTTAAACAGAGCAGATGTGGCTCTGGGATCCTTTGATTTGTCAGATATAAATTGTAAGTCACATAATGAGCTGAGTGGCGCAGGGATGTGGAGGAACTGTGGTTCACATCACTCATTTCCGTGAGGATCCTTGGTCAGGAGACACAACTTTGGAAAGCTGCAGGAATGATCCTGTGATGCTGCGGTCCATAGTTAAAGGACAGCTTCAGAAGCCATTCTCAAAAAATGAACTGGGGCAGTGAGTACTCCATGGGTTAGGCCTCTGGGTTTGTGATCATAAGGTCGCTGGTTTAAATCTTAGGGTCAGCAGAGTCATTTCACTATTAAACCCTTAAGCAAGACCTTTAATTCAAAGTGCATGAGAGACCGTCTGGCTCTGCTTCCTCAATTGTGCATCACATGTGATAAATAAATGGATAAAGCAGAAATACCTGCATTATTTTGTCCCCAATCATGAGTCCGGCAGCTTCTGCTGGGCCTCCTTTGCTCACTCGTGTGACATAGATTCCCTGCACACAGAAAAACAACAAAATCGTCCATCTTTCTAGGGTGCATCTTTTAATTCCGATTAACAGTCATGTTATCATCGTCATTTAGAGGCCAATCCTGTGGACACTCTTAACTTACTTTGTCAGTTTTATCCTCAGAAAAGGGGTTCTGTCCTGGGTCTTGATCTATTCCTCCTCCTATGCTGAAGCCCAGGATCAGGTTGTCACATTGACGAAGTTTGCAGATTTCAATGCGTTGCTGAAAAACACGCAAATTGTGGCTGTCAGTGATGACCCCCGTCACGTGGTGTAGCAGTCTACTAAGATTTGATTCAGATATAATCACCAAATTAACAGTTTGTTTTTAAATCCACGGTTAAGCAGAGAGTGAGAGGCCTTTCCCCACCTGACCGACTTGGCCGGCGACAGACAGCCCATGACCACCAACAAACACCATGCAGTCATGGGGACAGACCCCCTCCCCAAACACCATGCAGTCACGAGGACAGACCCCCTCCCCAAACACCATGCAGTCACGGGGANCCCAAACACCATGCAGTCACGGGGAAAGACCCCCTCCCCAAACACCATGCAGTCACGGGGACAGACCCCCTCCCCAAACACCATGCAGTCACGGGAACAGACCCCCTCCCCAAACAGCTGCTGTTTAATCAGCTGGCTCTGTAGGCATGCACGACAGTGTACTCCAAGTTACCAGTGTAACATTTCCGCAGTGTTGCTCTATCAAAATCATTAATATAAAAAGCCTCTCGGATAGAGAGACTGATGGGCTCTTGAGGAACGTTTCGCAGACTGGGATCTCTCTCTCTTTTGTGGGCCCGCATTGGAGGGTGGTTCTCATCGGTTATCATGTCTTGTTGCTTACCGTAGGGCCAGAAAAAGTGACAGTGCAGTTTACAAAGTCGGCCAACGATGATTTACTGTTAATCAGTTAAGTGAACGTGAGTACAGCAAATAACCTGTCCTCTGAGAACCTAAGAATGCTGTTCAAAGCTGTATTTGCCATATTTTAGTTATGTCACTGCTGCTGTGTTTCCCCGAAAGGGTCTTATATTCATTTTTGCCCCAAAAGACGCGTTAGGGCTTATTTTCAGGGGGCGTCTTATATTTCCATGTACGACAAACTACATTTACCGATATTCATGAACAAAAATCCCCATTTATTCAAATACAGAAATCATGTCATCTTCTAACCGTATCTTTCCATGTAAACAATCTAACGGTACATTTATTCGTGAACAAAAATCTACTGTGTATACATTTATTCAAATATTAAATAAATATTATTTCCTGTTTACATATAATCGCATCTCATTCTAGTTACCGTACAATCCATGGGATAGTAACTAGGGCTTATCTTTGGAGTAGGGCTTATATTACAAGCATCCTGAAATATCATGCTAGGGCTTATTTTCGGGGAAACACAGTACGCAGAGGTGGAAAGTTCAGGTCCAAAAGGGACAAATCCAGACCACGGTTTTGTTTTAACCAACCATCTGAGTATAAAGAGTCAGTCACAGAGTACTCAACTGATTGGATGAAACAAATCCATGGACTGGATTTGTACTTTCTGGACCCACACTTTCCACCTCTGCTGCTATATGTTACAACCCACTTTTCCTCTAATGACAGACAAAAAAGCAAAAGTAAAACAATATCAATATTATTTAAAAATGAGTAAGGCAATCAGTCGGGGGTCGCTAGGCAATGAACAGTTCAAAGAGACAACAATGCTATAATTATTAGTCAAGGTATGTTAAAACCTCATAATTCATAATTTTCTTTATAAAACAATCTGAAAATTCCAGACGCTCATCCAAACAAAACTCAGAATCGCTACAAAGGAATCTTATTTTTATGCCTTAACAATAGGTAGGAGACGAGTTTATGTGGAAGAAGTTAAGTAGCAATACAGACAAGCTACATTAGTCACCACCCATTGGGGGCAGAACTTAACAAGCAGTAACACAGTAACAAGCCCACGGCGGCCATTCCTGGGTCCTGTGCGAACGTGTACCTGGATCTGTGACGTCACTGTCACGTTAGCCAAAGTGTGCTTCCAATTATAACCATCCATATCATAGATAAGTCCATCACACATTAACGATTTATTGCAAGGTTTAACCGTATACTATGTTAACAGGGTAAACCTACAGTAGTCAAGACAACAAATGATAAAAGGGCTTCAAGATCCGGCTTAGTGTGGTTAAATAGCTTTAGAAAGCTTCACTATTGCAGAATAGATACCATCCGAAAATGTCACCGAGAGACAGATATTGTATTTTACTACCAAATTTAGTTGCAAAAAATATAATGCGTGATTTTGTCAGGGAATTGTCCAAAAGCAATATGTCCTGCACATCTGTCTGGTGATTTACACGCACAGTACAGCTGCAGCTGGCTTGCCAGTATTCCCACTTATACACCCCCAGTTTAAATGACATGAATAATCGGTCTTAAACAGTCTAACATCTAAGAATTAGATGTTATAGGCGCTGTTGTGTCCCTCTATACAGTGGTGTCATATAATTAATACACAAATGTACAGAAAGACTAATTAAATATTGTGGATTTATCCTTATTTTACCAAAATTCGAATTTAGACACAATCCCCTACGGATTTAGCTTCACTTTTATTCATATTTTTATTGAAATGGATGAGTCTCACAAAACTCCTCTGTTTTGATTAACCCCTAACTCTCAGCAGGCTAACAAACTGCTGCTTTGGCTTGCACACACCTTAAGCACATTGTTATATACCACTTTTAAGTCAGTGCCTTTGCTCTGCCAGTATTTGTTTCAGCATTTGACACTTTACGTAGCAACATGGAGATTTTCCAGTCTTTAATTTTTAAACTATGCAGCCGGTAAGCGAGCGCCGGCCGCCGCCGTCACGCCCATGGAGAATAAGTAGCCCGATCGCGGTCGATCCCGGCCGAAGGGACCCATATCAGCGTTAATCCGCATTCAGCACCGAATGTGTGCTGCTTTACTTTAATATGACCTGGAGTTTCGTGCGGAACATTAAGTGGAATAAAAAGTTAAGGCGGAGAAACGCGCCGACCGGCGAGCGAACAGCACGATTATCCGGGAAAAAGGCGTCGCTACGGACACTAACCGGTATTTACTACAGCTGATTAAACTATTTTTTAGCACTTTATAATAAAGTAACAAAACGCTGGCTAACTGACTGAACTATTATTGCTTTTATTACGGGTTGCTACTTTCTGATATAAATCAGTTAAACACGGAAGAAAGCCGCAGCCGCGAACACTTTAAACTTAAAGTATACCAATCATTGTACAACTTTGTTTTTTTTTAAAGGCGAAATGATCTGTTGCCCGTGTTTTAAAGTAGCAAAGAAAACGCGAGAGCGTGGCTCTAACTCGGCCTAACAACAGACGCCCGAGCAGGAACATGCGCCCCCGGGTCAGACTCACCACCACCGCCGTGACCGGCTGCCCCGGGATAAAGGACATTATCGCTTCAACACGGGCTCCTTGGCTCACGAAAATGAGTCCGCACTCCTTTCTAGTAGAAATGGAAAGCTACGATTGTCTTTATGGAAGGATGGAAATAATCACTAATTCATGACACGGATAGGCAGGGCTGATGATGTAATACTCCGTCTCCTATCTAAGGCTGGGCACCCAGCCCAGTATCCCGGGACAGCCAGCGGCCCTAGCTGTCTGTGCGCTTTCCTTACAAGCAAAAGCCTCGCCTTGGAATAATTTTATATGAATGAAAATAAAAATTAAAAGGTTAATATAGGAGATGTAAATCTAGGAGCGCGCATGTGGGATATTGTATGGGTTACTTTCGACTTAATGGTACATGTAAAACTAAAGTAGCAAATAGGCCTAAGTAATGAAAACTTTTTTTAGTTTATTAACTTATTAGTAATGTTTCGACACCCTGAGTAATGAGTAAAAAAATGAACGAAGGACTAAACACCTCGAAGGATTTTATGTTCAAGATATAATACTCATTCTTCAAGTTATAAACGATTTCCCGCCGTTACCATGTAATGTAGACATGATCTTGGAAAATGTAAAATATGGAGAATGTATAATCAAATGCTGTCAAATTGTTTTTTTTCTGTATTACTTTTTAAATATATATTTGTGCTACTTTGCATATATATGATTTTACTGAAATTAGTGAGACCCCTAGAGGTGTGTTTTGGGAATAGCGCTCATCTGAATTCAGTTAGTCCTCTGACACCTAAAGGTATTCCACTGACTTTCTCACCGTTTGCCACTATTGTCTTATTAAAGGACAAATATAGAAATGTCTGCCCCCCCCCCCCAAAAAAAATAGATATAAATAAAAATCAAGCTTTTGCTGATGTTAGATTATATAATGTGATGTAACTCCTTTTAAAATGATGAGCATTGCTTTGCCACCGTAAAATATACACAGGTGACGCACAGAGAGCTTTGTGGCACTGTGCTCGGCTGACGCAGCACAAAGTGAACGCAGGCTATGTACTTCTGCAAACAAGCAGTTTGGCAAGGTCTCAATTCCAAACTAAGGAAGTATCTAAAATCTTTATGAACTGAGAATCTGACTACGTTGGGAGGCAGTGTGTGGCTCAGCGGGCTAAGCCTGTGTGCCTGTGATTGGAAGGTTGCTGGTTTAAGCTGGGCCTCAGCAGGACATGTCTGTGGGCCCTTGAGTTCGGCCCTTAACCGCCACCTTCATGGGCTCAGCTGCCCTTTGTTGCCAAACTTGCTCTCACTTACGTATGGGGATCAATAAAAAAGAATAATTTCATTAAATGAACACATCATTTGGACTAGAATATTTATAGCCAAACATTTAATAGCACTGCCATTAAAGAATAGCCGAAGGATTACAATGTTGTTTAGACTTTCTAGCTTGCAAAATGTCATAAGATTAGATAATTTATCCACTATGGTAAGTTGGGGCATAAGTAACTTAGTAACTGAGTTACTACTGAGGTACAAATCATGAACAAATATAGTAACTATGAAATAATGAACTGTCATGCCTGATCAATAATGAATGAATATGGGATCAGTACGTAACTAACGCTTAGCTTTTCCTTAATTAATACATTAAGTGAGTGTGTACCGCTACAGAATTTGTGCCCCCTCAAAGTAGGGTTGCCAGCACTATCCATCAGTCTGTCTATCGTCCCTCTGTTTGTCCAGTACAGGCGGTCTGCCCCCCCCCGGCCATAAGGCTTGGCACACTTTTCACAGACCCTCACAGACTTCAGGCCAGTGACAGGTACGGATTTATGTCTTACACACGCGCATGTCTGTGCACTGAGGAAGCCCACGTGATGCCGGGGGAACATGCAAACTCCACACACACAGCTAGAGGGCAGTGCAGCGACAAGGTTTGTGAAAATATTTAAATACAACTGTTTTAAAAAAGGAAGTGTACAAGTGCGGTACACAAGTGCTCTCAGTGTTGTCGGTATATGGCCCTGCTGTTTTGGGAAACCTTCATTAATTATGAAAAACATACAAAAGCAGCACTGTGAATTGTACTGCACTTGCCGGACTTTTATGAGGAAACTGAGGAAGTGGGTGATACAGAACTCAGTGCCAAAAGTAAAAAATACATCTGGAAAACAAAACAAGCATAAGCTATGCTGAATCGGTAAGGATGTTAGCGATCGCTGTGGGTCGACTCACCTGAAGTAAAGAAAGATTCATCCCCAGATTCCAGTGGATCACTAAATCTAATGGCATAATTATGATTTATAGTGGTTAAGGATTTTTTTAGACATTTTTAGAAAATGCCTGTATGCAACTCATTAAACTTAAATGAGTAGTAATGTGACATAATATCCATAAACTGTTTTGTTTAATTGAACATTTTTATTTGATATTAGTTCAGGTTATAGAGAACTGCACTTGAACACATTTTACAACAATCTCTGGCAATCTGAAGGATGAACGTTCTCTGTAACTTGATACATATTTTTTTCACTGCCTTTTGTTATGCAGTTCTCAATGTGCAGTCTTCTAACTTTGAATGTACATGCTTGAGGAAGTAGTAATTGTTTAGATAAAAAATGTTCTCTTCATATACAGCTCTGGAAAACATGCACAAGTTTGGGTAGTTTTGCCTGTGTTACATAGCGTTATGTCTATATTGCTTAAAAAGTATTCCAGTCAGAACTGCCAGAATTGTATCGTTCGTGTTTTTTGGCGTTCGGTGGATAGAGTTTAGACAGCGTTGTAAAACCTTAACAGTTATTTGCATTCACACTTTTTTTTTTCACTGTTTCATTCATGTGTGTTTTGTTTACATTTAAAAGTGATAAACATAATGGTTTTTTTTTCTCTGAAATTCATTTTATGACAATTTAAAGCTAAACAAATCACAAGAGAAGGTGGAGGAGGTTAAGGATACTTAGAGGTTTTAATGTAAAATAACAAAACTTCAAACCAATTGCTAATAGTGTGTTTACATGTTACATCTAAATTATCCAATCATACAGGTGCCATACATGTATGCCGAAAATTTGTTAACTATGTTGTATTTTTTGTTTTCACCAAAGACAGTTACTGGTCAACCTTTAGGATTCATGCTGATTAACTAATTCCTAGGGACATACATAAATATTTCTAGCTTAGGGGAACACGACCAGTTAAGAAATATAAACAGCTACAGTTAATGAATACAGAAGTCTTCTGTTACCACAGAACCTAAAAATTCCACCAACTTATGCAAGACAGGGTCATGAGAGGCTGTAGCCTGTGCCAAGCAGCGAGGCCTGGGATATGCCCTGGACAGACACGCCAGTCACCCTGCCACAGATACGAAAAGCATACACCCCCTTACTGAAATTTCAGGTGCTTGTGATGTAAAGCCAGAAATGAAGACTGATCATATGCAACATCCTTTTCATCTTCAGTCAAATAAATGTAACCTTGCAACCAACAAATTTAAGAGAAAAAGATAATAGGACAGATAATTAAAATTAAAAAGCCTCTGAACATCACTTCAGCTCACATTTAAAAGTGTGCTCCCAAAGTTTTTTTTTCCCCACATTATTTCAATTATTTGTCTGTCTTATTATCTATTTGTTTTTTTCTGGAATTTTGTTGGCTACAAGATCACATCAAAGATGCAAATATGTCTGTTATTGGTTATCTTGATTTCCACTTTCACATCACAAAAAAATCTAAAATTTTGATAGGGATGTCCAGGTTGTTTATAACCACTGTAATATATTTAAACTGAAATTTACACTGAAATTTGATTTTAGAGAAAATGTACCCAAAAAGAACACACAAATAAAACTTGCCCATCTTCTCTTAAAACCATCAAACTCGCTGAGTCATTCCTTTAGGGAAGCCTTTGTTTTCGCCCTTAGTACCCTGGAGCAAATGGAGGTGGCAGTAAGTATTCTTCGGGTAGCTGTTGCTCGGCTGATGGGGGCGTGAGATCAGGCCTGTTTGCAGGATGGCTGCTGGAGCCAGTCGACGGCGGTGATCCTGGAAGCTCCTGGTACACATTCTCAGCGCATGTCCTACCGCCAGAATTCCTGCTCTCTAGGGCTGCGAATGCTGTGTGATCCGGCACTTTCCCAGACTCCTGTGAGATTTCAGCGTTCAGATGTGCCTGTGAAGCGCATTTCTTTATGAAATGAATCAGTTTGATCCTGCTCTTAGGTCTTGGCTGGCTGGATGTTGGGGACTGTCTGCTGGAGCTGCTGTTTTCAGTGCTAATCTGCTCTCCACCTCCTGGCACTAAACTTTCAAGAGGCCTCACTGGTGCCTCTGTGTTCCCCTGGTGGCACGAGGTGGAACTCCAGGACTCCCTGGACAGACGCACTGGCTGAATTGCGCCGACCTAATAAAAATGACCATAGACACAGAAAATCAACAAGCAGACTACAACAAACTTGGATATTGTCTTTCCAAGAACAGTAGTGTTGTTTTCTGTCTACCAACATGTAATTCATGGTGAGGTCTCTGCAAGGATATCTGGTCTATATAATGACCACTTAAATCAGTTCATCACAATGAAATGTTTTAATACGAAGATCCAATACAAGAAACACAAACACTCTACACATTTCATCTTACCATGTTTTGGCTCTGGACGTTTGTAGATACCTCTGAGTCAAAACAGGGGTAGAGTCTTGGGGAGCACGCAAGATTAGAAACAGGAGTACGAGCTGCATTCGAGGATTCAGAGTCTGTCAAGCTCAAACTAAACTGGGGTGCTGCTCCATTATTTACCAACTGCTTCATCTGTAAAGTATTGTTATTAAGTACAAGGTTGGCTAGGAGTTACAAAACTTCCTATAAATATAGCATTATCAGCCATGTCTCTGAGTAGCTTTAATTCTAATATATCAACAAACAAAAAATGAACTTGCTGTAAGACAACACTCAATTATTACAATTCTCCATTAAATAGCAGGGAAAATAATAATAATAATAAGAATAATAATGATAAATGTAACACCTGAAAGGTCAACTTCAAGTTCAATTATTAAATATTTTTAGCACATACACTAAATATTAATCACTAAATTTAATACCTTTACACAGGCGCAAGTTAGCAGCTCATTAAAGGGTGGAATTGGTAGCCGATGGTGAAAATCCACGAGATCCTGAAGTGAGCTGTGACAAGAGTTTTCTCCGGTGATGTTGTACAGACCGTCACAGTTCACATCAATCATGAAGTGGCGGCAGCGATCCTCGCCTCTGCGTTAATGCAAAAAGCCAGGACACCATCTTTCAGTGAGTCACTGTGAAGGTGGCTGTAAAGACGCAGTGAAACACAGCTGCAGCTGTCAGGCTGATGAGGACCGTAAAGATCAGAAAATACGTGGCACCTGAAATACAGCCTTCAACCAATATGGGTCCAGCAACGTTTATGAATTTTCATAGTAATCTCTAATTCAGCCCTTTCACAGAGCAAAGATCTTCTTGCCGCAGAAAAAAAATCCCTGTGCCCCACCCCTTTAAAATGTATAAACTGAAAATCTAAAACAGAATCTATAAATATTAATTCTATGAGTATCAACTGGACTTAAGGAGCCGGTGGGCTTGATTGTGATTTATGATGTTCTGCCATGACCAGCAAGGATTTACCTGAAGAAACAAACGAAGCAAGAGAGGAGATTGGTCCAAGCAACTGGAGGAGTTGGGATCAACCAATCAGATGTCTTTGTCCTGCCTCCTCTGGTTGCTTGAACCCACCTCCTCTGCAATCTGATTGGTTATCTCTCTGAGCCAATCATTTTTCTTCTGCGCTCATTTTTATGCAAGTAAAACTCCCATGAGCAAAAAATTACTTGAAATCATACACTCATTTAAATCTGAGTTACATTTTATTATATGACATTTTTATAAATGTACATGATATTAAAAGAAATGTGTCTCATTAATACTTTAGAAGATGGATGGATGGATGGACGGACATGGTTAATGCTAAAAAATACTCTTAGATGCCGCTTGTTGGTAAAAATATGGTTTACAGTACAATATACAAGGAAGACTATATGTGGCTTGGGTATTAAGTGACACTGTAGTGACGCTTCATTTTAAAGCTGACCACAGAAGACAGGCCAGCGTTTGGGCCCGCAGTAACTCACCGATAAGACAGGGTGAACCCGAGTCGGGTCTGGCTGAGCCGGATCAGAAAGCAGCCCCTCGGACTGCAAGTCAGCATGTCCTCCGCGAGGCTACAGAAACACGGCACTCACAGCGACAGCCAGTAACAGGGGCAAACAGGATTCTGTACCTTAAAAATGCTCATTTACCACTTCATGTACACTATATGGACACAAGTATCAGGACACCTGCCCATTACACCCATAGGAACTTTAATGACATCCCATTATAAATCCATAGGCATTAATATGGAGCTGGTCCCCCCTCTGCAGCTATAACAGCGGTCACTCTTCTGGGAAGGTTTTCCACAACATTCTGGAGTGTGTCTGTGGGAATCATTGCCCATTCACCCAGGAGAGCATCTGTGAGGTCAGGCACTGATATTGGACCTGAAGGCCTGCCTCACAATCTCCGCTCTAGGTCATCCCAAGGTGTTCGATGGGGTTGAGGTCAGGGATCTGTGAGGGCGAGTCAAGTTCTTCCAAACCAAACTCACCCAACCATGCCTTTATGGACCTCGCTTTGTGAACTGAGGCACAGTCATGCTGGAACAGAAAAAGGCCTTCCCCAAACTGTTCCCACAAATGAATGGGCAATGATTTCCACAGACACACTCCAGAATGTTGTGGAAAACCTTCCCAGAAGAGTGACCACTGTTATAGCTGCAGAGGGAGGACCAGCTCCATATTAATGCCTATGGATTTATAATGGGATGTCATTAAAGTTCCTGTGGGTGTAATGGGCAGGTGCCACAATAGTTTAGTCTATTTAATGCTATTTCACTTGCATGTTTCTCCTTTGTCTTGAGCACAAACTTTACAGCCTTTATGTAGCAGCTGTAGCATAACAGCCCAAGATCTGGATTTTTATACCCTAGTCTGCTGGCATGAGCATCACGCATCAGGACAATACACAGCGGGACCCTCAGATAATACTGCTGAATAAAGAAAGTCGGCACGAAAAAAGCAAAGGGATTCTTCCAAAGAGATTTACGCTCAGACAGTATCAGGTAGGCCTAATGTTTACACTAAACACATTGCTGATGTATGTGAGAGGATAGTGCCATTACGCGTACTTCCTGGAAAGGACGCCATGGAACCACTCAGGCATGACTCCGTTTTTGATAACACGGTTCAGATGAATATGTGTGAACCAGGCCAGGGAGGCGTCCTGCTCCCCAAACAGCAGCGTCCCCTGCATTTCCAGGGGGAACTACCAAAGCAAAGAAGATAAAAAAACACAACAATTAACAACAACAGCCACTATCTCTGCTGTCTGTCTCTCTACACTGCCACCTGGCAAGTTATACTCTGTGACAAATATTAACGCCGTCAATCAAAAATGTTACACAATGCGACTTCTACAAAGCCAGAAGAAATCAGTGAAGCATTCCGGATGGTAATTTTATGTGCTAAACAGGTTTTCTGTATTGTCAAAAAATGTCAGTGAGTGAAGTAGGGAAATACGTCGGTTTCGTTTATCTTGGTTGTATCTGTTGACGTTCATTTACATGACGGATCACTTTACATTTTAAGGAAATATATTTCACTTATCATAATGTACACATTCTTTATTTCACTGTTACTAGTGGGACAAACTAAAGTTCTGCTGTTACTAGGATTAGATACGTACATAAAAGAGAAATAAACATATCGACGCAACTTTAGTAGACAGGCAAAACATGAACGCTACTATCACGTACCTGTTACACGGATTACATATTAAATGAATTTTAATAAGTTAGGCTGCATAATCAGTGATTACATTCAAATGACAGTGTTACAGATCCGGTTTCAGTAACGTTACTAAAGTTTAACGGAAAGCTAAACATTGAAGGTCGTGCGCGTATTTCCTCCAAAAGTTTGACAGTCTCTTTCTATATTTACGAGCACGTCGCGTTATGAAAAGTAAAACAGGTTTCCTTGTGTATCCTAAAGTTTCTGTTACACTCAGCTTTTTCCTTTGATTTAGTTAATATTTTAAAGTTGATCACTTGCCTTGTACAGGTGCTGCGGACGCGAAGGGCGAGGTCACCGCGACTCTCCGGATTACCTTACCGTCACCAGGAAAAGACCATTATTAGGGAATTATTTTCATCATTCCTTCGTTAAAAGGTGTTACATTTTTCAACGATATACGTAGGCTGCCACAAACATAAGTTTAATACGTAGAATCGCAAAGGTGTGTTATTGCTTTACTCCTGAAATAGTAAAAAAAATAATTATTATAATACAAACCACAAACACCAATGTACGACGGCGTAAAACAGGTCATATGACAGAGATATCCAAATAGACTAGGAAAATGCAAACTGACAGGCAGCTCTCTCTATTTGTTTGCTAAGGGTTCGCACTTTTCCTAAAACAAAGAGTAACTGATCCACCAAGTTGCGGAGGGAAAGCGGCGCGTCCCCCGCCGTCTCTGCGAAGTGAATCTCTGAGCTGTTTGGGAATGAAATCTGATTTATTGTGAGCCATAATTAAGGCATCTGCTTGGCATACTGTGAGAAAAAAAGGTTACGGAATATAAAGTGGCTGTTCTCAAATGGTTTAGCCTCGGGAAAGGGTGTCAGGCAGGCACGGTTACCTGGCAGTTTCAGGGGGGCCTTGAACATGTAAAATTATAGGTGAAATTGGACGGGGGGCGGCAGCATTTCTAGGTACGCCCCTGGCCTCAGGACCAACATTATCCCTGGGTCGGTAACTCATGACCCATATTCACCGTAAAAGTTTTTCGGAGGGAGAGGGGATCTGAGAATAAAAGCTTCAGTACATATTTCCATTAAGTTGCCTATAATAATAATGATAATAATAATAACTTTCAGGTGACACCCAAGGCCGGTGTTCTGTCATAAAATCCTACCTATCGAGCCTTTCTGCGCATGTGCAGTTTCACCGTTTTGGGATTAGGGTTAGGTTTTAGGGGTTGTGGTTAGGGTTTTGGGGGGTTAGGGCTATCGATTAGCACTATGGTAGCATTTTTCGACAAGGCAGCCTAAATCGACAGAACACCGGCCACAGATACCAACACGAGTCTCTCAGCTTTGCGTCACTGGTCACGTGTCCTCCTTGCCCTCTGGGGTCTAGCAAAGTTCTTGCTTTCTCATCAACTCTTCACTCCACTGCTATTCTTGCCTAGTCAGATTCGCACAACTTCACAATTACATATCTTTATTTCGTGTCAGTTACCGTCATAAGTCATATGAATTTTTGACATGCTTCTAAGGGATGTGTCGAAGAATGTACAGCATTTATTATGGTTTGTTGATTAAAAAATTAGTTCGGGGTGCGTCATCCAATGAGGAAGAATATTAGGTGCAAAAATGGTCAAACCACACCTCGTTATAAAACAAATTTGTTTTAATAAATCATCAAAAGTACACATATCTACAAAGCTTCAGAACCAAATTACATAAGATTTTTGGAAAGTTATGTTACAATCATGCATTTCTCTTATGTTAAGCTATTTACAATGTGTATTTCCAACATCCCCATTCCAGATTTAACTGACAATCTCCAATAAAATCAGAATATTGCTCACAAAAATATTAACCATATGCAATACAAAGTTATTCAACAAAGCAAATATTCCAAGGTTGCTTGCTTTAAAATGGCTGCCCCTTTTTAAGACCCTCGATTTCTTCATTTTTAACCCCTTTCCTTATACAGATGCTGTCTTGTCAGATCACCCATCCTGAGCAGGGACGCACATGCTGCTAGAGTATGGATAGGAAAAACATGACGCGTCGAAAAACCTCACGTCTTTGCAGCACAGTCATCATTTCAGAAAGCTGAATGATCCTCACTAGGTTTAAAGACCTGACAAAATGAGACAATATCAGTTTTGCTTCCTTTATGCCAGCAAATACTGTATTTCGCTTGTTGTGAATGTTCAGTTGGTACCAATGCCACTGAGCATCAATAAGCAAGAACAGGAATGTTTGTGTAGAACAAAAACCTTCACACCTCATACCACAAGGAACAACATTTTCCTCATTTATGTACAGATACACAGGTCTAGAAGGTTCATGATGCATAGCCTTAAAATATGACGTAGTCAAGGGAAAAGACAAATTTGCTGTTAAATCACTGATCTAAGGAAAAATGTGTTTTAAAAAAAAAAAAAAAAAAACACAGAAAGACCTCCCGTTACACACTGAAAACAACATGGTTTGTGTTTTGGATAAAATTATTAGACTTTGTACTCAATTTGTAAACAGACAAAACCAAAACCCAGAAGTATGGATGCATGCTGTACATTCACTGGTACAGTATTTTTCCCAAAATCGAACAAGTCAGCTTGTGCAGAGAGGGATGTGTGCATTGCCAGACTGGATACTGACAGGAGTAACAAAACTATTTCCTTATAATTACAAAGATGGTGCTTCCTTCTGTCTGTTCTCATTTGAAGGGACTTCACTCGTGTTTTGCTCTTATGGATCATAAAGCATATTTACTAACTGCAACACTTCTGTTTGGTTGAATCCCCAAAATAAAAACATGTTAAAATTACAAAATATAATAGTGAATAAATAATAATAATAATAAAAAAAATTAAAACCAGACCGGTACATGGTTTCACTGTCATTATTAATTGAAATATTCCTTTTTCATCTTTTACTCTCTTTACCCTATCACCCTCTCTTTCAATTTCCAAGTTTGCAGTTACCATGACAAACTTCCTTGTAACTCATCCCCTCCAATAAGGCGCAACATTAATAAAATGGCATTTATGCTTAATCACTACTAACACAGCAAAGTCTGATAAAGGAGTCGCACAAGTTGACCCTAATGGAATGCTGACCTTCAGTTTATTCCAGTTTAAGATTTTTTCATTCCAGTGTTTGCCAAAAACATTACATTTCCCATTTAAGGTGAATTTTATTGACTTTCTTTTTGCTCAAATATTTCAGCAAAACCAGAACTTTCAGAAATCAAAAGGAATTACAATTTAGAGGGGAAAAAAAAACATTTCTTGAAATTTATAAATGAGAAATAAGTTTTTGTATCATCATTTTGAGGCTGAAAAAGAAAAACGGACTTAAAGTCGGCTGCTCCCAAATCCTGCTGTTTTCCTGGCTCCATGCTACACCGTAACACCACTTGGTATTGTCACATACTATATTTAAAGTTTGCTTTGACGGCCAGGCTCAGGACAAAAGCAGCAAGTGCTGATCACTTAAATATTTAGACTGACAGTGAAATGCGTTCCGGATTTCTCTTTGGAGACAGAATACTACATCTAAATTATTTAACCTCTGCATTTAAGGCTATTAAACCATAAAATATTATATTTTCCAATTGTAAAATCGGGCCAAGGGAAGAGCACAGACCAGTACTACCGACCCAGTTCGGCTCACCTGGAGGGTGTGAGGACTGCTGACAGGGAAGCGGAGGAAGCTTCCGGAAAACAAGGGCAATTACTATTAAAACAGCCATCCATACAAACAGCTTTTCAAAGAAAAGGTTACTATGTCGCATGGTAAGTATAACACCATTTATTATTGCCTGTACAAAAGATATCTAGGCTCATTCATCAAGAATGACAACCTTCAGCACTGACATACAGATGGATGGAGGGGTTTGCTCTGGACTGTCAAGTACTGGACACAAGGTACAAAGAGTCTTATAAGGCCAACAAACTGATGTCATAAATTTAAATAAAATGGGGGGAAACAACAAAGGGTATAGTGGACAAATCACTGTCAAAACATGGTTTATTTTAGAGAATGAGTGAGTGAAGATCCGCTATCAAGCACATCTGCAGGCATGGATGTAAGCTACAAAACAGATAGATGGAAGAGCTACTGGAGTTTAGCAGGTAAATGTACTGCGGGAGAATGGCAACTCGACTGGATAGCTAATAGGATCCAACTGATTGTCAAGGAATGTCATTTAAAAATTATACTTGCATTTAAGAAATTGCTGCGATAAGTCATTTTCAAATCAAAAAAATAAATACAACAAAACAAATGGATCAAATAATGAGATGTACATCAGTCCTAATACAATGTTATACACTGATTTAAAAAATAAAAAAACCTTCACATCCCTGATCTGAAAGAAGACGACATAAAAAGTGCACACTTGAGGGAGATGTCAACCCATCTTAAAACAACTCAAGAGTAAGTGGTAAGTTTTTCTAGGTAAGGAAACACAGAACACAAATGACAGTAACACAAATTTCAAGGCCAGAACCTTACTGGCAAACTAAAGTGGCCTGAATAGACTTGGGGTTTGTTGATACAGAGCACTGGGCAGCATTCTGGAAGACTTTCAGAAGAACAGAAAGGCGTGAGTGACAGCCGTCTACGTGCATTATGGTTGGAGAAGAGTTCTCTACATCTGGGTTCTTGCTGTGCACATATAGCAGTAAAATATGATGAAGCGAGGACTGAGGGTAGGAGGAGTGACAAACGGTCAGTTAGTTATCACAAAGGGAGGCAGCACAAAGGATTACGGAGAGCAGAAGAGCTAGAGGGGAAGGAAAGTGCTCTGAGCAAGCGAAGTCCAGTTACGTCCAGCCTTGGGGCAGACATTAAGGCTACAGTTCTCACAGTAAGACACAACGGAAGAAACTGCTTTTCTTCTGCTGCTCTGAGATCTTCATGGCCTGGGTACTGCCTTGTGGAGTGTTGCCCTCCTAGAACACCCAAAGACAACCATGCATGAGGAGGAAGGTGGGGGGGGGGGGCAGACCTTGACCCCTAGTTAGATTCTATCCAATAAAATACTCAAATATCTTACCAATTTCTTGTCCATCTTTACCTTGATGTCCCTGGCAAGCGTCATAAATGCCTAAAATACAAAAAGATACTCATGACTGCTGTCAAAAAGCATCACAATAGGACAAAACTAATCCTACAACATCCTTAGCACAACAAGAACATGACAGATAAGATCGAATGATATTAGGAAACTCAACGGAGAAGCAGTCACGGGGGGGGGGTCCCAACCCGGCAGCAGACCACTTACATTCTCCACGTTGATGTTGGCCTTCGCACTGGTCTCCATGAACTTGATGCCGTACTCCAAAGCCAGCTGGAAAGCAAGAGGGAGTCAAGAACGGGACCAATGATGACGGCGCGACGCCGTCAGACCGACATCTCGCCATGTAGCCCTTCCGCCGTCAGACCGACATCTCGCCATGTAGCCCTTCCGCCGTCAGACCGACATCTCGCCATGTAGCCCTTCCGCCGTCAGACCGACATCTCGCCATGTAGCCCTTCCGC